GATGGTATGGCAGTCTGTAGAGGAGAAGGAGTTGCAGACAGATTTCTTCTGACTGAGCACTGTGTTCTTTTTGCACTTTGGTGCCAATGCTCAACTTTTTGCAGACTTTTTGCTGTCTGCAGCATTCCAGATAAGGAAAGAAGGAAGAACAAAATATCTTTCTCTTTTTCCAACAAGAGATGATCTAGGCAGCTTAAAACCGTAGTGCTTTTTTTTCTTACTGTGTCCCAATTCCAATACTTCCACTATTTGGATACATGTGTAGAATGCTCGCTTGCTATTAAACCTCACTGTGTCTCCATGTTAGAACTGACATTTCTGTTACAGAGAAGGTATATGTTTCACATGCTTCCTCTAATGGTTAATGCAGGTTTTTAGGCTACTGAATAAAAAATGTAAGTTGAAATCCACTCATAAAGTAGTACGAGAGTACCATCAGTTGAGACTGCCATGGCAAAAACCTGTTAATTATATTGGGGTTTATTTTTCATTTGTTCTTGCTGTGGGGTTGTTTGGTTTTGGTTTTTTTTTTGTTTCGGTTTTTTTTTTTTTTTTTTTTGCTGTTGACTCTGTGTATAGTTAAAATGCCAAATTAGATTTATAGTAGCTTGAAGTTGTATTAAGTGATATTTTGCTTTCTGTAATTCTGTTATAAAATAAAGTTGTTTATTCTCTGTATCACTTTTGGTACTCAGACATAAGCTTGGAGGATATTTGAAGTGTGCAGATTACTTCTGAGAACTGCAGTTCTAGAGGTCACAGAACCTTAAAAAACAGGGATTAGTGCAAGTGGTCTGCAGGGCTGCTAGCAGGGTGGCACAGTTGCCTGGTACTTAAGTACCAGTGTTTTTTAAACATCTTCCAATAAACTCCTGGTTTCTGTAGTTTAGAGAAGAAATCTTCAGCTGCGAAAACAGAGTAGATTTGAACATCACACTGGAAGTTGAAATGCCCCTCGGTCCCCAAGTGGTTCTACTGAGTTCGCTGAGATGGAATCTACTGTGGTTTTCAGATAGCAAAACAAATCATAAAACTTCTCGGTACATTCTTATTCACTTCTGAGCAATGTATTTTTGGTGCTATTCTCAGTTTAGATGGCTGCCATCTGTCAGCACACTTGTGTAACAGAAGTTCTCATTAGCTTTGGCTCTGCATAATTTGGATAACGTATGACAAGAGTAACAGAGATGTTAATTTCTATACATATGGAGTCATTCTCAACTGCATCCACATTACCTGGAGAATTAGCAGATAACAGTCTTGCCTGCTTTCCTTCAAAACCAGAGGTATTCTGCTTTTCAAAAAGGGGAAGAGAACCCCATCCAGCATGTGAGGTTGTCAAATAAGTGGCAAGTTTGGGATATGTAAATGTAGGTCAAAATGGACACACATGCATTTAGAAGGATGTGTCAGTGGATTTTTCCCTACAAAAGTGTAAGAAAAAGCTATATAAAAATATTTAACGTATTTTTGATATGGTGTAGTATTAGTTGCAGATCTCATTTGGTGGATAGCATGTTGCTTGAATTCATTAATTTTAGATTGGTCTGATTAGTTAGACAGTAGATCAATATTGGTTTAATTGCACTTGTATTTAATCCTTAAAACTGCATATATAATATTGTTGAAAAAATATTACTTTCACTGAGATATGTCTTCAAATACTAATAGAACCTTTTGTCAGAAAAATTAATAGTATTTTCAGGTCAGCATGGCTTGTGCATCGCTGTCACTTGCATTGATTAAATATGTACTAATTAAACATCCATTGTCATGCAGAAAAACATAAGCCCTACGTGTGATCAGTCATACAAATAGTCAAGGTTTAAAGATTCACGTTGTATGTAATTAGTCAAATTATCTGGAATATTGTGCAATTCTGAAATCTCATTGTTTCCTTTTTATATATAATATATCTACAGCAAAAACTACAACATGCAAAAAAAAAGAAATTGTTCTCAAGGCACTTCACAAACCAGCTTTATAATACATGGGCAATTTCAAATATAATTACAGTAATTAATTCTGCTTAAATACTTAGAAAAGTGAGTCATGTGGGTCTTACAAAAAAAACCCACTTAATACATCTGCCTTTTTAATAATGATAACCTCAGGGTTCATAATAAATGTTGGACTCATTCCACAAATTATTTCCCAGATAAAGCTTTTGTAAAGGGCAGGCATGCAAATCCAATGAAAAACTTTAAACAAAAGATTTATTGTTCAAAGCAATGAGGAACTATAGTACAAAGTGTTTCTTGAAGTATTCTTCTATTTGACAGTCTAGCTGAATAGCAACTTTTAATTGGGCCACAGAAGACATCAAACAGATGGAATACAATACTGACTACACCTCTGGAAGATCTGAAACTTCTGATTTTCAGGCTGCTCAGTTCTTTGGGGCTTTCATACTGCACTTGAAAAGATAGAGTAGTAATATTAATACAAATTACAAGCATTGGAAATGCTGTGATAATTCCTGTAGTGTTAAAATATTCTGTTTGGTTTGAGGCAAGTCCTACCAGAGTTTTTGGAGGTAAGTCTAAATTAATGTCTCTGCTGGGCCAGGCTAAGTGACTAACTCTCCCAGATCTCTGTCTCTGAGGCTACTGGTATTCGCCTTGGGGTGTGTGTAACTATGATTACTATATTAGAAAGTAGTACTTTCCCAAATATTCTTCCAGCCTTGAGCAATTTTTGAATACTCACTGGTGTATCAGTCTTTATTTCTCTGCCTCTGGATTTTTAGCTAATTGCTTTTTAAAATTTCCTCTGGCCAGCATAAGGAAAAAAAGAGCCAAAAGCATTTTTGTGTCTTTGAACCTGCCCCTGCTCTAGCATCCCTGGACAGCATCACTGCAGACTTTGGAATAGACACCTATCAATCAGCCTCCAGTCATTCCCCAGCCAAAAGTGCTTTGCCATCTCTCTCAGTACCTTTCCATCTTAAATGTTGAGGCTTGAAATTCTGTTCTGGGAAGCGAAGGGGAAGTAGTCACAGGTAGGAAGGTTTCAAATTATGTAGGTGGAGTAGAGTCTAATTTCACATTATTGCTAGAGACAGGAAGAGAGAGGACTCCTCAGTGAAAGCAGTAATTGAATATACATGTGTAGAATGCTTGCTTGCAATTGGTCTCCATATCTATTTAGATAACTTGTACAATTTATCTAGACAAAGGTGTCGTTCTACAGTGTTATTTATATGTCTTTTCCCTTTTTGAAGGAGTTGTATGGGATATTATGTTGTGTTTCATGCTGGTACCATGAAAACATATTTTTTGACACTGTTCAGTAATGGAACTAAAGACAAGAAGGCAAAATGAGAATTTCCCTTGCATGTTACTAAGTTGTGAATGTCAGATCCTCCTACATGTTAGCAGTTACAGCTCAATAAGCAGTTCTGTCAAAGGCACGGAGTGTATGCATACAGCATTATTTTTGGTATCTGTACCACTAGTTTACAATGAAGTGCTGTTTAAGAGTTTTACCACTTCTTGACATTTCAAATCGCCCCATTCTCATACACACTGTGGAATTTTAAAAAAATCAATTTTCATTCTGTACTTTTTACATGTGGTCCTGGCCAATCTTTTCTTGGGCAGTGATAGAGTGAGTGTTTGGCATTCTGTATGTTACACTTTCTTTAGGATCTGATCAATTTCCCAGATCACTGCTTTAAGAAGGCAGCATCCTTCTTAAATGTAGAAAGTAAATTCTTTGCAGCAGCTGTCTCAACTTCCTTGCAAAAGATTGTGTTTCCATTTCCAAACAATTGCCCCTTCACCTGTGCAATGTATTCTGTTATTTGCACAGATGTAAACTAGTGTGATGAATTATGTCTTTTTTAATTTGGGTAGTGTTAAAATGGGAAAGAGTGTAAGGATATTTGCTGTTTAAATTGTTTTTTTCTCCACAGACTTTGATAAATTACATTGGGTTTTTTAAACCTGTGGTCATGACCTCATTAGTATTTCTATAAAATTATTCTAAGGAGTTCTTAAAAGTCTATGAGAACTGAAACTGTGCAAACCACACATAATCTCAGACAAGGCATTATCTGCTCTTGCAGGATGAGTGCTGACAAACAGCTTTAATAAAAGGTAATTGCAGACTGCAATCATTAGCGGACAGGGACAGTAAAAACTGAGGACAGTAGTGATAGTCACTTTTCATTCCTTGCTTTGAGAGTGGAATCAGAGAAGCTAAAAGCCAGTGCTATTTGCAAACCTGAGTTGCATTGTTGTGGGCCATCTGCTACAAGCAATCTGAGATGCACTAAATCTGTACATCTACAGCTACAAGGGAGCAGGCAGGAAGATTTTTTTAAAATGTGTGTCAAATGACACACTAAAAAGATAGCTCCATGCTTCTGCAGTTTTTTATTTGCAAAAGTCATCCATTTGTCCTTAAAGGAGAGTAATAACTGCCTTACAGAATACTGGCTAAATCTTTCCATGGTTTCACAATTTGGCATTTTCGGTCAGCAGAGAGAATTTTTTTTTTTCCCTGCTACTGTTACATTTTGCTTCCAAATTCTGTGGAAAGGATACTTTACAAACTCCACAATCTTTCCCAATGTGTACAAGCTAATAAATGTCAGTTCCCCTTCAAAACCCTTTTCAAATTCCCAGATGTCAGTGCTTGATACCAGCTTGTTACTTATGCATCTCAATTTCATAAGGCTGCCTGCCTTGGATGTGCCAGCTCAGCTCTCTCAGGAGCTCGTTGTGTCCTTTCTCCCTGGTAGGCCAGGGAGGGGCTGGTGAGCAGGGCACTGTCCCTCCCAACAAATCGTGGGGTGCGCAAGGGAACCAATGCAGGTCATTGCAGGAGGCCTCTGCTCTCTGCTGGTCATCTCAGCTTCAAGAACTCTGGATGGTGGCCGCTGTTTAATTCATTACTGGGTTCTCCTCTCCGGTTTTGTTTTCCTGTGTGGTATTTATTTACAGCCATTTATTGTTAAACCTTCAGGGCTGAGTACTGGGCTTAAGCTTGCTTCCTGAGACGAGAAGCTCCCTTAAATGTCCTTGAGTTCTTGTATCTGTTCTCTTTTTGTCCGGATCTCCTGGGTTTCTTCCACTGGCCACGGTGATTCAGAAAGGCATTCCTAGAATCTTGTGCCATGGCCATTTCCTCATCAACTGAAAAATAATCCAAACAACACAAGAATTCTGTAAGAATATGCTGATTTCTTATGGTGAGTTTTTATAAAGAAAAAGAGCTGGTTTATATTAATAAAAACTAATCTTGCTAAGGTGAAGCTGTCTAAAGAGCATGCTGTTACTAGTTGGCCCATGATTCTAGAGGGAAGTCTGAGTGTGAGTCTGGGGCTGCTACTATGCCCAGTGAAGCGCTAACATGGGCTATTGACATCAGCAGAAATTCTCTGTTTTCATTTGCCTCCACAGCTTCCAACCAGAATAAAACTTTTTACCAACGGCAAAGAGCATATTTCATTTATACTGGCAATTCGTGTTCTGCTTTACAGAACTGTGGCTGTGCTGTGAGAACTGTGAGCTGGCCTGATCCTCCTGATGCTGCCTGTGGTACAGACAAAGCAGAAAAATGCTTGCTGCCCACATAACTGGACATCTTCAGAACATGACCATGCTGTTGGAGGCTTGGAGATTATTTGAAGAAGGATGGAGAAACAGAGAAAAAAAACCAAATTAAAACCCCATTAAATACTTGTTATTGCTAATTGTTCAGAAGAAATGTGGACTGTTTGTATTAGATGATTTCATTTTATTTATAAGATATTTATATAGTGATAAATTTATGCAGAGCTTCTCGCTGCACAGAGAAAAATACTTATTTAACAACAAAGCAAAGCAGTCTTGATTTTAGTAATAAAAATTTATCTCCTTTTTTCTTTTTTTCCCTTTTTTTTTCAATAAAAGAGATCTAGGGAAATAGGCAGCTGAAACCTTCAGAATTTTTGTTGTACTGTAGAAGAGATAGCATTTGAAGGACTCTGTTCTCAGGCTTATCTGTTTCTCTCACCTGATGGTCTTAAGCTAAAGCTGGCTGCACTTGCTTGTACAGGGAGAGCTGCTCGGATCTTTTGTGTAAGTTGGCTGGAGGCCAGAACAGTAGGTTGGTCTCTGACAGTCTCAGCTTAAGAAAAAGAAGATCTTGGAGACAGGCTGAGAATGCAATGCCCGAAGTATTACATAGACAGGAATTCATCTCACATCCTCTTTAGAATCCCAGCCAGAACACCTGTGATCTGCAAACTAAACTCTCTCCTTTCCTGAGGCATTGAAAAGCCAGATGATTCCCTTCAAGCATCCTTGGTTTTGAAAGAGAAGCGCAGCAGCAATATTCCTTTGGCAAATTAGTCTGCCAACTACCTCATTCACCTCTCTCTTACACCCTTGATTACTAATCTCAGAAAATTTACGAAACCATTGCTTTGTTTAAACTCATTACAAATCCAAGGCTAAATTTTCTGTGCTGTAAGAGAAGCAGAATTTAACATCTGGAGCTGTAGATTATTTACAAACCTGCAGAAAGTGTGCATAAGGAGGATATGAGTGCTGTGAAAAAAAGGCAGGACAGTCTGTTTCAACAGTTGATCATGCATCACAAATGCAAATGTCTGTGGGTTTTTTCAGATGGATTAATCTGGTTTAATGAAAGTATTCTCTGAGCCCCAGCAAAATACCTGAACTGATGGGACCAGTAGCCCACTTGCTTTTCCTGTCTTGCTTCATCCTAGCTGGAATAGAAAAGTGAGAGCAGCACTAGCTAACAAGGACTTCAGTAGCACTCTGTATTATTTCATAATAACTAATGTCTGGCTTTATATTATATGAGCACAGAGCTCATATTACTTTGCCTTCCTATTTCCTCACAGATACTGAATTGCACAATGTTTTGGCATTGCACTGTTTTTGTTTTTGCTTTATTAGCGTGTGAAAAACCATTAGCACCTTACTCTAAGAATAATCTATAACCTAATGCAGGTCTGGATTAGGCATGAGGAGCAGGCTGCCCTTGCAGATGATTTCAGTATCTGAAAGCACATCTTGAACAGGAAATGTTTGAGTTTTAGCAGCTTGAAGGTAACTTGAATTGTGTGCTCATATGCAAACAAAACCTTTCCTCTGTTAAAGCCTCAGATGTAAATGCCCGGGGATGTTACACAAAACAGGAAGTTTGTTTATTTTACATTTCTGGCTGCATATGACCTGTCTTATGCTAAGCATCCAAATTTTCAGGATAGAGCAAAATCTGAGAGCCCAAATTACAGTGTTTGGCCTGGCATCTAAGAGAGATTTATTTCCTGTCCATGCACTGGTGGGTAAATCCTTCTCCTGCTGGGCTGATGCACCCCAGGCCAGCTCGGTGCGAGGCTTCAGCTGATCTGCAGAGCCCTGTGGACAGGACTGGCCTGTCTGCCCCAGCCTGGTCTGCTGGAGCTGAAACCTGTAGTGCGAGAGTTGTGAAACATTGTCCCAGGCAGGGTTTTTACCAAGCTGTATCAAGAAGCATCTGCAGTTTACAGTGAAAACCTGGGCTGTCCTCTGAGCTCTCCTGACACTCCATATGGAGAAAACGTTCGAAAGACTGATAATCTGAGGATCAAGCTTAGCCCAGTGTCAGCGAGTGTGCTTTCAAAGAGCTGAAGGAAAGAATGGTTGAGGCCTCAAGCCAATGTGCCCCAAGGCTGGCTTTGGCAGCTGGAACCCTTAAAACAAGAGCACGTGGGGATCTCCTGCTGCAGCTGGGACCCAAATCTGGAGGGCATGAAGATCATCCCATCAAGACTGGAAGGGCTGAGGTACAGGATGCTTCTGCCTAAAAGGAACTCCCTGCCTGCTACAAGTGTAGCCCAGTTGGGCCAGGTGAGCAGCCTTAATTCTCAGTACACAGATGTGTTACAATCACTGCACATTTGCATTGGGATGGGTGTTTTTGTTTTATTCAGAAAATGGATTTTTGAAGTGAGTTTAAGCTGATTTTAAAATGGAAAAGATAACATGGTAGATGTGCGCTTAAGTACAAAATAAAAGCAAATAAATACTTCTGAAGAACATAGACACGTACTCAAAGCCCAATTACTTATGGGTGTAATTGCTGCTACCTGTCTCATTGAAGACTTGCACAGTGTAAGCACAGAAGAAACTGATCTGTGAAAATGATGTTTTAACTGCCCTTTTTTTCATTCTGGTTGCCCTTTCTATAATGTAAAACAGTAAAATCTCCTATAATATAGTATATAAAACTATAGCATTTTAAGTCAGAGGTCAATTCAAGTTTTAAACAAATACCTGTAGTGTTTTTCAAACAGAAAATGGTCTAAAATACAGTACAACTTAATAAAATTGTTTCTGATCATAGTTGCCTTCAGTTTAGTTAATGGTACAAGCCTAAATTGTCTGTTGAATGAGAAGGTTTCTCTCCCTCCCGTCTTTGTCCCCAAGCCCTGACTCACCTTCTCTTAGTTTGATCCTGAAGTAGACAATTAGGAGCAGCAGGAGTAAAGCCACGGGCATAAAGATCCAAGCAAAGAGAACATAACCAGGCAGCTCCCTCACAAACACTGACAATACATAACCTATGCTCATTTTCCTCTTTGGCAAATGTGCCAAGCCAGATCCTTAAGGTCTCCAAGGCTATACCTTATTTATCCTGCTTTCTTCCTTTTTTTCCTGATGGACATTCTGCCCTTTGCTCAGGCCATTATCTCTTTTTGGACTTTGGTTTGTTTGTGATCTCAGTAGTACTGGAGTTCACCCACAAAGTTACTCAACAACAAAGTTTAAAAGTTTGTGTTGAAGTAATGTAGGGCTTTGAAACCTTTGGATGTTGGGCTGGGCAGGGCTCAATATGTGAGTCTGCTGCTGCCTTTTGAGCAGTGTGGGTTCTGTCATCTGCTAACATTGTACAGGCCATTCTGAATAATAAACACCTTCTTCCTAGATATATTATTAATTTTACAGTAGACCTGAAATGCTCACTCAGGGTGAGCATTCCACAACAGGGTTGTACATTCTCACAGGCACACATGTGGTCTCAGCTCTGAAGAGTTTTCAGACCAAACCACTGAGGCAAGAAGCTGTGGTGATATGGTGCTGACAGCATTCTTTCCAAAGAGCAGCTGCAGAACAGTGAAACTCAGGAAGGTTTCTTTCTCAGTAAGGTTGAAAATGTATGATTTTGGCGGGGGGGGGGCAGATATGCCAGATAATTCAAGAACTTTTTAAATGTTCAAGTAGTTCCATTTTTCCCATCTGGTCACCAGCCTATGGCAAAACTACGCCTTGCATGCATTGATCTTCTTAATAAATTTTTTTAATGATTAGTCGTTTTATAGTCTTCTACACCTTCAGATTTGCAACCATATTGTAAGCAGTTCTGTCCAAGCATCCAGAAAGACTGTACAAGGTTTGTTTCAGTAATTGGGTAGGTGGGTAGGCTAGAATCAAGGGGAAATGCAGTAGATTTTAAGACTTTCAGGGGAAAGAGGTACTTCTGTGTTCACCTTTTCTTCACCTATTGTTTTCTAGAGGCAAACAACCTCACCTAAAAACTATTTGAATTTTTTTGAACTGTAAGATATTTGAGGTCCTGTCTTTTTAGCAAGTGATGGAGAATGTAATATTTACAGGTGAATTCCTTGTTTTGTTAATTACCTGCTGATGTAATTGATAAAAGAGCAAATGGAGTGTGTCTTATTTCTTGCTTATCCTTGTTCAGCTTCAGCTTCATTATATCTTATTCTGACTTTTCCTACAAGATGTTTGACCTCATTCGTAAAGTGCTTTATGATCTACTGATGAAAAGCATGGATTAAAAGCCAGATGGCGAAGATATTAATATTATTATAGGCCCATCTGCTGCCAGGTAATTCCTTCCTTGAACAGATACCTGTCAGCTGTGATCAATAAATTCCTTAGACTATTTTTCTTTGTGCATGAAAAGTTAATACTTTTTTTTTTAGACTATTGTGATTGCTATTGCTCAGGTTTGCAAAACAATTGCAGTATTTGATAAACACTCTTCTGGCATATTTTTTAAATTCCTCTCAGAGAGCTCAGTTTTTCAGAGTGAAGTCTGTGAGTGAATTCTGAACACTGTGACATTACAAAATGAGCTGGGGGATACGTCTCTGATATGCCTGTTATGGACCTTAATGACATTTATGGGTGCTAAATACCTGCAGACGAGGTTAAAACACTCATGTGGGTTTTTTTTAATTGGGTTATTTTGTGTGCCTGTGATTACTATTCCTTTATGTCAAATGTGAGTCAGGGGAGTTGAAGTAAGTAGCTTGACTTGCTTGTCACACCTGCCTCTCATACTTTCAGGCACCTGATAGATTGGAAGTGGTTAATTTTTGCTGAGGAAGAATAAGAAAATTCTCAGCTCTCCACATTTGCACAACATCCTTGAGAAATGGCAGCTGCCAATTCTGGTCTCAGCAATAAGGAATAAAACTTGGCTCGTGTCTGCTCAGTGTGGCAGACATGTAATGCAAATTTCCATACTGAAGTTGGACAAATGCAGTGGAAACGAGGTCAAACGCATTTTTGCCATGAAGGCAGTTGGTTTCCTGCCTGGTTTGGCTGTGATGGTTTGTGTAAAGCCAAGGGCAGCTCTGCTGCTGGGCAGGCAGCGGTGATTGCAGCAGCAATGCCTTGCGTGTTGTCTGCCGCGGCCAGAGGAAAACTGGGAAATGTGGGCCAGGCGTGGATTACTAACACAGGAACATATGGTTTCCTGGCTGATCTGTGGAGCTTGGGTGTGCTTGGGAAAACAGATGGATTCATGGGCTTTTGTCACTGACTTTCACAACAGAACTGGTTGCTTGTTACCCCTGCAGCACTGCAGGGTGGGCCTGCCCAAAGTTTGCTTTATGGTTAACAGGGATTTCAGCTGTTTCCAAGTTTTTCTTTTGGCTTGAATCAGAAACCTAATTTCCTGTGAGAAGGAATTTAAGGAACATTAATTTTACAGCCAATAAAACTCTTATTTCAGCTGTGTCATTTTGATTATATGCAAGAAATGTGAACACGAATTAATTCAAACTTCAAATGACTTTCTATTTTCCAAATTTTCCAACCAACACCAGAAATTATGAACATCACACCTACCTTGTTGGAAGGAATTACTTTTACTGTTCATCCTCGTGTGTGTGTTAGACATGTATTTTCACACAAGTTTATTGAATATTTTGTTTCAATCACAGTTTCCAAAGGAAAATATTCTCTTCAAATTTCTAGATGGCTTTAGTAGGGAATATAAAAAGGCAAGGAAATACCTATTGGTGCTGAGGGGAAAGAGTAAGTTGTGCCTGTGAAGACTGAACCACAATAAATAAAGAAAACCTGGTTATTGCAGGTGCTCAAGAGCCTTGGCAGAAGCCAAGATGCACATGTTTTGTACATGCAAATTGCCAACATGCACAGCAGATAATCTGGCACAGCTAAGTTTGCACTTTCTTAGAGAACACACTGTAAAATTTGCTGTAAGACTGATTTTTTTTGTAAAAAAATCAATATTTCTGTCATGTTAGAAAGAGGAAGCAGGAGTTCAGTCCTGGCTCAGTAAGGACAGAGCCTTCCAGCACACACCAGTAGGTCAAAACTCTTGTTACTCCCTGAGCAAGAGCTGGAACTGGCCCCAGAGGGCTGGCTATTCCCAGAAGTGTCCCTAGCCCAGGATAGATGTTGGTGAGCTGGGTAAGGCTTTGGTAAATTGGTAAGTTTACACTGCTCAGAAAACACATTTTGGATGATAAAGGGCTTTAGTTCCTGGGGCTCTCAAGGCACAAGGTTTCCTGAAATGTATATTAAGGTTATTAAATTAAAATGCTAAATGAGCATTTAGATCTATCTTTATCCTGGATGTTCTGCTAGAACATCAAAATTGTCGTTCTCCTCTCCAACATAAATTCAATAAAGGTTATTAGATCGGGTAGTTTGATATCTTTATTATTACAGGCAATTTCATTTCCTTCCATGTCCTTTGCAGAATCCAATAAATTGACTGAGGCTTGTTTTCCCAAAAAGCACTTAGCCTTTGTTTGAAAAGATCAGGAGACAGAGAATCACCTGTCCCTTTCCATGCCTTATTCACGATGTAAAACACCCACTTCACATCTGGTTTAGAGCTTGTCATAGTTCTGCTTTCAGCCACTTGTTCTCCCTGTGCCGTCCTCAGGGCATCAGGGAGTTTTGGGAGACCTGTTATTTTTCCCTTGTGAAAGTACCTATGCCTTGCAGGGTCATGCCTCAATCTCTTTCCTGTTTAGCTACCCATTCTCGTCTCTTAATTCCTCACGGCAGGAAATATGAGGGTTTTGCCCATCCTTGAAATTTTATTGCAGGTTTTCTGTGCTTTGTCTAATTTTTAAAGGTATCTTTTGAAATGTGAGCATCCTGACAATTACAATCTCATAATCTGAGACACTCCTAGGGGTAAATTCATGTCTCTATTCCGACTTGCTAATCAGTTTTTCATTCATTAGGTGGGCTTGTCCCTGGTTGCTAGAGCATTTGGAGGCACTTGGATTACACGCTCGCTGTCTCAGTCTTCTTCAGAATTGTGGTTGCCCAGGGCAAAATTTAGAGACCTTTTTAAAGTTTGTTTCTAGACAGAAAATTTTTGTTTGAAAATGTCATAATGGTTTGTGTCATGATAAACCAAACAAATGATCCAGATCACACAGCCTAGCTGCTTGTTACTTCTTACTGCTTAGCATCAAGCCTTTGATTATCTGCACCTTTTAGAAGTGCTGATTTTATACAAACTTCTACCTGATGGTTTTTTCCCCCCTCTCCTACTTTGCTGATTTTCTACTTTGTTACTTTTCTAATACAAGTATTTGTGTCTGCATAGTGTAAATTGCTTCAAATTATTGATCCAGCTGAAAAGCTGCAGAAGCTGTTTCTGGCTTTTTAGGGAAAGTGTTAATGAGATTATTGTGAAACTGGATCCATTTTCTGGTTGAGTTTGGAGACAGCTTTGCTACCAGTTGTGGAACCACCGCCCCACCAGAAGCACTGCAGTAGCTACCCTGTGGATATGACTTTTAAGATCCCTGCAGCAATTCCTAATTCATTACTTGTGTGCTCTGTTCATATAGAAAAGTCATTACTTTTTAATGACCACATCTTGTGCTGTTGATTCAAGTGCCTTAGGACTTCTAGGGGTATTGAAGCTGTGGTTGACGTTATCAAACAGACTTGTAATCTCATTAGCAAAGTAGCATCTATTTTGCATAAACTATGCTAAGTAGCTTATTTATATTCTGATTTTCTATCTCTTTGAACAATCTTTGCATTCTTCATGGCTTGCATTTAGTTTTTTTTACCTATAACTAGGCCAGGTCA